TGGGACCCAGATGGGCAGAAATGCAATATATAAACATACTGCTATAAAAATAAATTCAGCCTCCTGTGTTGTGTCCACACTGATGGGAAAACTGGCTTACTGCCAGGGCTTCTGGATCACAACCAGCACCCAAAATGGGCTGATACCAAGAGCACTGCTTGCACATTCTCCAAGCAATAGACTGTCAGTGCACTATACTGATTGTATTGTTATGCTAATGTGCACTTGTGTGATCAGTCTGCATATCTGCAAAAGGAATGGTGCTGGAACAGTGCGAACTTGAAAGTCAAAAGTGCTGTGGCAAAGAGTAAGAAGTTCCAGGCAAGAAGAGGTCAGCTGTTCAGCCACCCACCAGCATTCCTTGAGCCTCTACACTGGAATAAAGGCAGGATATAAGTAAATAAAATAATAAATAAAAATAATAATTCCTCCCCTTCATCCCCAAACGGTGCACAGTCCTCACGCTCAATGAATTCTCCAGAGTTTCCAGCCTGATAGAGAAAATAGGTACTCTTTTTACTCCAGAGACTCACCCTAGAGCAGGGGTAGGCAACCTTTCCCCTTTAAGGGCCGAGGGACTTGAGCTCCCAGAAGCCTCAGCCATGTTGGCCAATAGTCCCATGTTGGCCAATAGCTCCTGGGATTCTGGGAGCTGAAGTCCCTCGGCCCTTAAAGGGGAAAGGTTGCCTACCCCTGCCCTAGAGCATGGATTGGACCCATGTTTCACCTGTTTTGACCCCATGCATCATTTAAACAGGTCAGTGCAGAAATGGAACAGGAATGCTTCTTTTTCTTTGTGCAGACATAGCTCTGGCCTCCAGCTTTGCTCTTTCAGGTACATGAAGCCCCTTAGCTGATCAAAACAAGCCATGTTCCCTTAGGAGCTACACCAAGGATGGTGATGGTCCAGCCTGCTGCCACGTCCTTTTCTGCATCTCTGCCTCTCTTCCATCACCAGAAAAAAATGGCCAGAAAATATGCAATCTGACTCCTAATGCCTCCAGGGAGTGTGATTTTCCCATCTAAGGTTACTCCAGTCCTCACATTTGGAATCCCAAATGACATTATTCACAAAGTAGAGTCTTCTTCCAGTCACTTCAAAAACAAGGACAGAGTGCAGCCCATAGTAATCAGAATAGTGGTGGAAAATGGGGCAGGTTACCTCTGCCTCCAGCTGTGCATCTCTAATCTAAACTTACCTTTGATATCCCTGTGGACAATCATATTGCTGTGTAGGTAGAAAACCCCTTGCAGGATTTGCCTGGTGTACTTCCGAGTCACGTTCTCTGTTAGGGCCCCATAGGCTTTCAGCTGATCTTTGATAGAACCCTATCAGATGCAAACAGAACAAGACACAGTTAGATGCTTTGATTAAGAGAATGGGGTCATTTCTCTTTGTTGAGAGATGTTTTGGAGGTTCTGGACAAAAATAGAAAGATAAATCTAATAAATGAACCCCATCTTAGAAATTTACCTATAACACAAAAGGGTTTTACCTTTATATCAGCAATAATGTTGGTCTCTGCATGTTAAATTATGCAGGGTTTTTTGTACTTTTACTCTCTTGCACCTACTATCTTAAATGTTTTGTGCATTGTTAAATTTTTTTGTCATGGCTTTTGGCTAGCACAATAAACATGATGATGATGATAAGGAGGAGGATGAAGAATAAATAAACCATAATAATACCTGAGTAAAAAATGTCAAGACTAAATGTTTACAGTGGAAAAGTGAATTATTAGTTGTAACAGGAAACTTTTGGTCATCCAAATGCTTTGGACTATAGGTCCCATAATCACTTACCATTTCACCTGGTGGTTGAGGATTCAGGGAGCTCAAGTCTAGAATATCTGGGGGGCTAAAAGCTCCCTAAACCTGGGCAAGAACATCAATCTTGCAGTGACTGTGTGGGGATATGAGAGGCCACTTTTGAATCCGCTCGCAAATACAATCACCTTAACTATGTGCTCTCATGAAGCCCACAAGCTGGTAAATTTATTATGGAGGCACACCTCTATGAAGCACTAAAAAGCCTAGAAAAGTCACCTTTCTGGACTACAGCACCCAATATCCCCCAGGAAGCATCGTCACACTAGTCAAGGAATTACTGCTTGATCCTGGATTTATATCCTGCCTTTCTATCAGGGATAGAATGCAAGGCAGCTTCCAACATTAATTGAATCATTTAATTCAATTAGTGCAATCATATTTTTAATTCCATCTTTTTTCTAATCTGTTGGAAACTATTTTGGGCCCCATCGGGAAAAATGCAGGACTGAAATGAAATGAGATAAATAATTTGAAAGTTTCTAGTAAAAAGTTTCCAAATAAAGTTTCCAATGAATATGGGTTTTACATAATAAAATACAAATCAAATCAATTATACCATTAAAACACCACTGAAAACAGTTCAAAAACACCAGAAAAATAATAAATAAGCAGTAAAGCATTTGAAGGAACCAGCATGATGTAGTGGTTTGAGTACTGGACTATGACTAGGGAGACTAGGGTTCGATTCCTAGCTTGGCCATTGAAACCCACTGGGTGACTTTTGGCAAGTCACACGCTCTCAGCCTCAGGGGAAGGCAATGGCAAACCTCCTCTGAACACATCTTGCCAAGAAAACCCCATAAGTTGGAAATGACTTGAAGGGTCGCCATACCTCGGCTTTGGGATCGCCACAAGTCGGAAATGACTTGAAGGCACACAACACACACATATAACATTTGAAAGTCCAGCACATCTCTTTTAAAATGTCAGACCATTGTCAAGAAGTCAGTTGCCAATGCTCTTCCTGAATAGAGAAGGATTCTGGGAATTGTAATTCAAGGAAATAACTTTTCAAAGCTTTGATGCTATCTCGCTCATGGATAGTAGACACATAACTGTTCCTCATGGCAACTGCTTTAAAAAGCAGCCTGGCTGTGAGAGGCACCAAGACATCTGAGCATCCACTGACCAAAGAGTGAAACTGCTTCATGGCTCCCAGTGGTAGCTGCACATGTCTGGGGTGCATCATGTGCCAGCCTATTTCCCATTAGTTACAAGGCAAAACAAGCCATGACAGCCAAATGGAAATAAAATCTTGTTAGACCAAAGCACTAGTTCTTTTGCAAAAGAAAAACAAATATGACCATCTGTGTCATTCGGAAACAACTGCTGTTCAAGCCAATGTGCTTCCTGGATGGAAAAAAAAAAGGTTTTTTTAAAATAAAAAAAATCTTCTGTTGTCACAGAAGGAACAACAAATGAGCCAATTACACCATGCAATCCACTCATGGACAGTCATAAGGACAAGTGGCCATGTATGCAACATTCTGGATGCATAAAAGTGCAACATTTCTCTGATTCTGGTTCTTCCCCAACTTGCTATTGGTTGTACTAGTCTAGCTCCAATATGTCCTCAAAACCTAGATGACAGGACAAAAAGTCCTGCGGACAAATGAAAATGGTGCTTTAGAAAGTAAGCATAGTTTCCTGTGGATTCTTCCATCACAAAGTTTTAAATGCCAGTAACATTAGCTGTACTGGTGGAGAAAAGGAACATGCTGTTCTCAGTCTTAAATTTGTGTGTGTGTTTTGCAGGTTCCAGATAGTAACCTTGGAATGTTTTTTTTTTTTAAATGAAGAATGCATGCATATAATGGTTGGCATCCCATAAGGGATCTATGCCTATATAAGTTTCCCTTATGTGTGCATATGTTCTTTTCTGGCTGCTGCAGGATTGCAAAAGCATCTGGCTACATCCCCGTAGCCAAACATGAAACGATGACATTAACACTGAGATCCACTGGGGTTCTCCAGCAGTCTATGCACTGCTATAATCATTTTACGTCTCACTATGGGGAGGTAGCCACACATTTCTGCAATCCTGTGTGCTTCCCAAAAAATAGGGATTGGCCACACAGGAAGATGTATAGGCTGTTCAGTATGTCAGGAGAGTGGCATATGACTCAGCCTACCACAGGTCCACATGCAGACCTGCTATGCTATGCTAAGCCATACAGGATTGTAGCCAATACACTTAAATATACATCCTTCAAAATGTAGAACAGCTGTAAAACTGAGGGGCCATAATATTATAGGCTTGGAGGAGAGGTGCCATGATGTCTCAGGCACTAGCCAACAGATGGCTAAACTACAACTCTTAGTATGATTTCGTGGATCCTTATTTTTGTTTTCTCAGAAACAACCCCAATAGTAATATGGTTCTCGGCAGGGGGGACCCACCCACCCTTCACCTAAAACATCTTGTTCATACTACCCTTCACAGAACTGCAGAATTAGTCCTTGGCTTCTTTCTGGGAGAAAAAAAGTATCTTTTCCAGAAGTGCAAAGAAAAACCTGGCAAACTGGTTTGATGAGAGGTGGAAATGGTACAGTGATTACACAACAACAAATATATGCTTATCAGAGGTTGTGATGTTGCCATCAAACCAAACCAATCCAACCTGCTTAAAACATTATACAGTGGGGCCTCCTCATTTGTGGACTTGCCATCTGTGGATTTAAGCATCGGTAGATGATAAGGTCCTGTTGTCTCCAACGGCAGCGTGTGCACACAGCTGTGCACTGCCATTACAAGGGTACCGCTTTTTTCGTTATTGGGGGGGGGGGGAGAGAAAGGTCCCACTGTACATGGTTTGTATCAGTTGACAGGATCTCATCCCTACTTAATGTTTGGTCAAACAGAAGTGCTTTTGGAATTATTTGAGGAATGGATGGGAAAGAACACAGGAAGCCTACATGGGCTTCAGGAAGAAATCTGGTAGTAGAAAGGGGATAAGGTGTGGAATAAAGTCTAGAAGGAAAAGAAAAAGGAGGTCAAGAGTGGTGGAGATAATACATGTATCTTTTGCCTCTGGATTCAGGATTTTCACCACTATCTGAAGTTTTGGGTATCTCATGATAACTTACAGTATTTGGTAATATTTAAAGCCCGATATGGCTTGGGGCCTTGGATACCTGAAGGAATGCCTCTTGTTAGATATGTCTGGAGAGCCAGTCTGGTGCAGTGGTTTGAATATTGGAGTACAATTCTGGAGACCAGGGTTCAATTCCCCATTTGGGCATGTACACCCACTGGGTGACCTTGGGCAAGTCACAAACTGTCAGCTTCAGAGGATGGCAATGGCAAACCCTCTCTGAAGAAACTTGCCAAGAAAATCCTAAGATAGGTTCACTTTAGGGTTGCCGTAAGTCAGAAACGATTTGAAGGCACACAACAACAAACTGCAACAGTCTGACTGAGGTGTGTTAAAAGTGCTCTCCTTTATCCCATTTGTGGGGAAAGGGATGTTCTCATCTGTGAGAACATGGGAAAGAGCCTTCTCTGCTGTGGCGCCCCAGAGTGGAATGCCCACCCCTAAGAGGTCCGCTTGTTGCCGACACTGGCTTCACTTCAGCACCTAGTTAAATCATAACTTTGTATTAAAGCCTTCGAAAATCTTTGGATATCAGCTGGGATACAAATGTATGACATATCTGGGCTACCTAAAAGCATGATCACTTTACAAAAGCACCTTCACATCTTAACTTACCCCTGGCATATATTCCACGAAGATGGACAATTTCCTCTCCTCAGGGTCCCGCAAGCAGCCATAATACTGAACTATCCTCTCATGGCGGAGGGTTTTGAGCAGCTGGATCTCACATTCTAAAGCATTCACCTCCTGCAGTAAAAGAGAAATGGCTACATAGGGAAAAAGAAGGGCTGTAGGTGTGGCTATTTAGTGCAAGGTGTATGGCACATGCAGGTTCATTGAAAACCCTGCAAACTCCTTATAATCCTGATGATTATGCTCCAGATTACCTTGGAATCTTGACAAACCCCATCAAAGGAAAGGAAATATCCAGCCTCTGCCTGATTATCTTTTTCTTTCTCCTTTGACTTCGTCTGTGCTAATTTGCCACAAGCAATAATAAAACTTGAAAACCTTATCATTTTCCAGAACAAGCGAGTCCTGCCAAATGCACTGGCATACTAGCAGACAACATTCTTGATCCTGTTTTGAGAAGTCTGGGGACTGTGCTCTCTCATGCTTTCAGTGGCAGTCTGTACAGTTAAAAGTGGTGTGCACGCTGCATCTGTTTCTTGAGACATCAGACCTGGCTTGCCTTGATTACATCCCATTTGCATTGCTGTAACACACTCTACATGGGGCTGCCTTTGCATTGCTATAGTACAATCTACATGGGGCTGCCCAGACATGTCTTGATTACATCCTATTTGCATTGCTGTAACACACTCTACATGGGGCTGCCTTTGGAAACTGTTCAGAAACCCCAGCAGGTCAAAAATGCTGTAACCAAGTTTCTAACTGGGGTAGGTTATAGGGATCATATAACCAACTGAACCAACTCCACAGGCTGCTGGTCCATTTCTGGGAAGAATTCAAAGTGGAAGCCATGACTTTTAAAGTCCTATATGGGTTGGGTCCAGACTATTTGAAGAACCATATCTCCCAGTCTGTCCTCTAAGATCTTCAGGAGAAGGCTTTCTCTTGGTCCCCCCACCATCTCAGGGACATCTGAAAATATAAAAGAGAGCCTTCTTGGTGGCTGCTTCTAAGTTATGGACCTCCTTTCCCCAAGAGGTCCAGTTGAACCCCTTCCTGCTGTCTTTCCGCTGGCAGATACAGACCTTTTTATTTAAGGAAGCTATTGCTTATTACTGTATGTGGCAGATAATGTTTTTAATAGGGGTGTAGTGTTTATTTTATTATGTTTTCACACATCTTGTAATGCTGTTTTTAAGGGGTTTTAACTTGTGTTTTTTAAAATAGAAATTTAGTTTGGGTTTTGACTTTTGTATTAACAAGTTTTCAAACTGTATTGTGCTTTTAAAATGTTGTGCACAAACTTAAGATTCCATGTTGAGGGAAAGGTGAGATATTAAATAAATAAATAAATAAAGTGTCCTACTGTTTAACCGATTTTACTAAGTTTTATCGCAATTTCATTGTAACCCACCGAGGAATCATTGGCTCCTGTACTATATAAATCTGTAATAAAAGAAAATGAAATACATGAGGGAAAAGCCTAGTGTTTACGAAATACCCTCTTCTCCTGCTGTGGCTTGATAGATGAATAAATAAATAGAAAGATATGATTTTGGAAGTATTTTACATACCATCCTAGCTCATGCACATACTCACTTTGCTTGTCTCTTGGCTGTCGGGATCAAAAGGCACCTGCTTTACAGAGAGTTCTCGGCCGGTGTCAACATCATAGCAAAGGTAGACTTCTCCAAAGGCACCTCGCCCTAGTAATTTCCCAAGCCTCCAGTTCACTGGGGCTTGCAGTGCTATGGGAGAGGGGAAAAACAGTGTCAGAAGAAACAAAACCACAGAGACCCATAAAATCACAACAATCCAAAGTCTCCTAATCTCTGAACCGCCTATCAGCCAGAGAGTTGTGCAATCTTCTTTTTTCTTATGCAGAGTATAGTGGTCAAAGAAAATAAACATTCTTTTCTAAAATTTCAAGTTCTCATGGCATATATTTATTGAATGTATATCCCTGCATTTCTCCTGAGGTGGGATTCAAGGCAGCTTATTTATGGTAGCATAGTCTCTTCACAATGGAGCAAGACCAAAGGTGTGATCTTAAGCAGTATGTTTATTTAGCAAATGGTTAAATAAAGAAATGTTTGATTGCAAAGGAGCAAAACCTAAACAACTAGATGTTGCTGTTGTGAGGGCATTTATGCAATGATGTTCACACAAGAAGGTAGGTCGTCTCAGTTCTCATCTAATAGAATGATCTGCTAGGATGAAAAGTAAAACCTAATTATATTAAGCGAACGATAATTCTTTTAACGGCAACATGGAGATTTTAACAGTGTTCTATGAATCATGCAAGCCAATTAATTTATCTGAACGATGCATCAGACTTCCTCCCAACCAACGGGTGATTTTCTATCTTTGGGTCAAACTCAAGTAAGAACATACTACAACTAAGGACCCAAATTGTAATACAATCTCCATCCAGATCCATAAACCCAATGGAAACCCACCAGGAGGTAACCTACTGTTCCTAGTCTTGTCAGGAGGAGAGCCAAAGCCTTGGAAGATTTTGTCACAATTGTGCCACCACTTGTTGCCTCCGCGTTCCTCGTACCGCAAAGTGACAAGCTTGTCTCCGTTAAAGCTCTTCGTTCGGCTGGACGGCAGAAGCTGGAACAGGTTCTGTGGTGGAACGTAACTCCTGGGGAAGGTTCTTCGGCCTTTGAAAGTAGTGGAGAAACGAGGAGAAAGAACACAAATCATGGTTGGATGAAGTGGACTGCCTATGCTGCTAACACTGCTTCAAGACCTCCAAATTCTCCCCAAATACAATGCAGAGGATCTCAATATACAACTAAAACTGGTGTGAAGTTCATCCTCATATCAGACTGGATGACTACCTATGGTTTTGCTTTTGCTTTCACGTTCTTCACTATACCACAATTCAACTTCATGAATCACCTGGATCTGTTCTACTGCACTGATTCTTAAGACACTCTGCACATTGGTTCCCCCTATTACAGCTACGATTGGGACAACCAACAAGCAGTACTTAGTTACAGAGGTGTAACTGTGTTAAATTGCAGGATGCAATCTTTTTTAAAGGCCATTGTATAGTAATCATTGTAAGGGAAAGCAACAGTCTCTTCCACCATATGCCATATAAAATGCTTGTGTGTTGCTATCATTCTCTAAAAGGTTCCTTCTGCTCTTAGATGTCCAGACTGCCTCTTTATTAAGGACATTATTAAGGAAGCTAAATTGCTCCTGGCTAGGTAATAGAGTCATAATATTCAGACACATATCCTCTTTCCCTTGCTGCCAATCCTGCCAAGTTTGATTCAGTGTCAAGAAAATGGGGGGGGGGGGAACCTTGAGAATAAAGGCCACATTTGCACAAACAAATTGTAATACAATCTCCATCCAGATCCATAAACCCAATGGAACCCAATGAAACTCCCTTCTCTACATCTGCAGAGAAGGGAGAACCACTGTTTTGTCTTCTAAACTCTGTGGAATTGTTGGATCTTATTAGAGGTATTACCTGCTGGTGGACTTTATATTTCATTTTTTCTTCTTATGGATCAACATGCCCAATTTCATTTTTTTGAGTCACACAGTTGCTCCACTCTAATACAGGGATGGGGTATTTTGGCCCTTCAGATGTTGATGAAGTGCAGGTCCCATCACCATTGGCTATGTTAGTGGCTCAGGCTGATGGATGTTGTAGTCCAGCAACATCTGAAGTGCACCAAGTTGCCCACCATAATCTAAAGACCATTTAGTGCATCTCAAACCTGCATGTTTGGAGCCAGCTGATGTGCCAGTATTCTAGCATATACATATAATAAACCAACCATATGTTCGCATTGTAACACCTGAAGTAAATACACATAGAGAAGAAACCAGGTCTACCTAGCCAATTCATTCCTATATTACATCAGACCACTATTTCCTAAACTTATTTGCACAGGAGAACCCATCCTAAATCTATCTAACTTCTTATTCCTCCTTCAAATCAGCACTGACTGCATCCTGCACAGAAATTCCTGCATGGAATTATTCATGTAGTTCAGGGGTAGGCAACCTTTTTGAGCTGGGGGCCGGGTTGCTGTCCCTCAGACAATTGGGGGGCCGAAGCACCCAAAAATAAGTAAATAAATAAATAATATATTTATTTAAAATTTTAAAAAATTAAAAAAAATGCATGCACACTCTCTCAGCCCCAGAAAAGCCATGGCAAAACCCCATGGAGATTTTGCCAAGAAAACCCCAAGAACAAGTAATAACAACAATAATCAATATCATCATGGCGGGCAGCGGTGGCGGCGGCAGGACCGTCCTGGGGCCGGTCCAAAGGCCTTGGGGGGCCGCATCCGGCCCCCGGGCCTTAGGTTGCCTACCCCTGATGTAGTGGAAGCATGGATCTCATACTGGATTCAGAAGAGAAACAGAGTATGATATTGTATATCACCTCCTAAATGCACTTGCAGGAAAAAATAAAACAAAGTAGAAGCACTTTGGTTTCCCTTCCTTTTAGATCATGCTAGGAAGATGGGATAGCA